TCCTTTCCTTCCTCCTCCCTCATTCCCCTCTAGTGCTGATGATGTTACCTAGTTGGATCATTAAACGTTTACAAGAAAATCACCCAGCTCAGAGAGGACCTCACAGTCCCATTCTCCCGATCCCACTCCCTCTAAGAAGGATGACGCTACGTCGCTGGGTCATGAAATGTCTGCAAGAAAACCATCCGGCTCAGAGAGCACCAAGGACCTCCTGCCCTGAACTTTGACCCCCATGGCCCTGGGGATGCCACGTAGGGTCGCTTTTTTTTTTCCAAGGCCACTTCGAATCTGTCGGTAAGCGAAGAGCCGTCGGTTCAAGGACGACCCGGGCGTCAGCTGAGAGAAAGTTTTCCCAAAGAACCATCAGGCAGTTGTTGTTTTTTCCCCAACCTTCCCGAAGTATTCGAAGAGACGAGCCCTCAGGACGAAGAGGTCGGCATTGCTCTTGTCCAGTTCCACCTCTGCGTTGACCATCTGAAGGCAATCGTTGAAGCGGTTCATCGCAGCCAGGCAGGCGATGCTGGGAGAAAAAGAATTGCTGAGGGTCCCTCGGTTCTCTGTCCAGTTGCTGGGTGGGAAGTGGCCGTAGTGGGCGCAGCCTACCAGAGCCTCCGGGGGGGGGCATTTTTCGCCTTTCCCAGAGTCCGCGAGGGTGAAAACGGCCTCCCCTGGGGCTCTGGAGGCCCTCCGGAAGCTGGAAACAGGCTGTCAAGCCCGAAATTGACATAGGCGTAGCCATTTTATTTAGCCTTATTATATATTCCTTTTCTTCCTTTCTCTTTGCTGGTTACGGGAGGGGGAGGGTTTCGGGCTTGCCACATTCCTAAGGTGGGAGGAGTGGAGCTAGAGAGAGTTGTTGAGGCTAGGTGGCTCTCCTTCCCGTGGGAACGAAAGCTGACTCTAGAAGTGGAGATGGAGGACACCAGGCGAAAGTTGATTTATTTCTATTTGGGGAAGGTGACATTTGGGATGTGGTGGGGAGGCGGGTTTGTTTCTAACTTCCAATAGTATTTGGTGTAATTCTGGGATGGGTCAGATCCGGAATTACAACAGACTTTGCCGATTTGATGCTTTCCTAAATAAAAAGAACTTATTACGGAAGATGGGCTTTGCTTTTTTTTTTTTTTCCTTTTTAAATGGATTTTATACCTGGGAAACCTGACGCAGGCCCGTTTCCAGACTTCTGGAATTTCCAGGGGGGGGGCATTTTTCACCCTCCCAGAGCCTCTGCGTGGACCCTGCACCCACCTGCCTCCAAAATGGAGACTCTTGGGAGGGGAGGGGCGGGCAGGTGGAGCAAACTGGTCGGGTCAACTACCGGTTCCGTGAACCAGATGTCAAAATTTTAACCTCCCGTTCGCTCGAACCGGCCCGAAACGGCTGAATCCCACCCCCCCGGGTCGCGCTTCAAAGGATCTTTTGAAGACTCATCTTTTCAAAACCGGGACGATTCAATCACCTAGTCGGCCATCTTGTTTAGCGGTAGGCTAGAGGGGGAAACCTCGGTAGAGGGAAGAAGACCCCTCGCTCTTAAAACTTTGGGGAACAAATTTAGCCCTTTTTCAGGGTGGGGTGGGGTGTACCTCCTCATGCGGTAGAGCCTGTTCTGTGGCTGGAGTTCGCAGGCGTGAGTCCAGGAGTCGAGAGCGTCCAGGTAAACCTTCTGCTCGTACAGAGACTGGCCCTGGCAAGGGAGGGGATGATGGGCATCGTCAGGACCAGGTTGCAGAAGATGGGCCTTCCCGTTTCCTCCCGTCTAGGCGGAAGTCTCAGCATCTTTATTGTTATGTCGGACAAAAATAGCATACTAGAGAGATAGAAAAGGGGAGGCATGAGGGGAAGGGAGAGAGGGAGACTGAGAGGGGAGGGAAGGATGGAGGCAGGAAGTTAGGCGGGCAAGGGAAGAGAAGGGAGGGGAGGATGGACACAGGAAGGAGGGATGGATGAAAGGAAGGAAGGAAGGAAGGAAAGAAGTGGGGAAGGAATGGGGGACAGAAAGGGAAGGAGGCAGGCAGGAGGGAAGGAAGAAAGGAAGGAAAGGAGGGAAGGAGTGGTGGGGAAGGGAAGGAGGTGCGAGGGAGGGTGGGAGGAAAGGAAGGAGAGAAGGAAGGAAGGGGGAAGGCAAGAGGGAAGGAAGAAAGGACAGGGTGGGAGTGAAGGGAAGGGAAGGAGGCAGGTGGGAGGGAGGGAAGGAAGGAAAGGAGGAGGGAAAAAGGGAGGAAGGGAAGGATAGAGAAGGAAGGGAAGGAGGTAGGAGGGAGGGAAGGAAGTAAAGGAGGAGGGAAAAGGATAGGGAAGGGAAGAAGGCGGGAGGGAGGGTAGGAGGAAAGGAAGGAGGGAAAGAAGGAAGGAAGGGGGAGGTAAGAGGGAAGAAAGAAAGGACAGGGTGGGAGGGAAGGGAAGGGAAGGGAAGGGAAGGAGGCAGGTGGGAAGGAAGGAAGGAAGGAAGGAAGGAAGGAAGGAAGGAAGGAAGGA